AAAACACCAAAAACAAAACAATACCTGCAAAATCAAGAAGCGATTATGGTCCAGATCAATTCCATGTTGACGAAGAAGTTGAGCGATGGTCTTGAACTGCACTCTTTTCCCATTCATAGTATAATAAGAAGAGTTATCCCGGAAAGCTGTTCGAGCTATTGTAATTTTTGAATTTGGTACTGCCTCATACTTGTCCCCTTCCTATATGCATGTATAATATATACAAAATAAATTAAAACAAATTTACAACTACACATCAATAAATGCACACAATTTTAACAGAATAGTACAATATTTAATGAGAAGTAGTTCACAAAGATATAGGATGTTACTCTTAATATTTCTTGAATTAAGATCTACTATCCTGACCATAATCATGAATAAGCATTTTTTTTATGAAATTTAAGTTAATGTAAACCAATAGGGTTTTCAGGTTATTCAATTTCAAATAGTTCAATATAAAAAATCATCATGTTACTTTTTTATATTTTCATCATGTTTACAGTACCCTATACTTGTTTCGATTTCAATATCAGTTTCCATTTTCTTTGAATTATTGGCTAAAGGGAAATGGACCTTATTAGCAGAATGACAACATGACGCTGTTTCTGGATTGCATTGGGTCCTTCATAATATTATTTACAGCAAATAACTGAAAAATGACATTTCAGCATTTTATATAAAGCATACATAGTGAGATAAGTGCTTGTAAAATTACAAATAATATTTCTGCAAAGTATGTAAATTTTATGTAAAATTAGCATTTTATTAATTTGTTTCCTATCATAATGTTGCTCATATCTACATTGGTAAGTTCCCAGATGCATGAGTAATTATGTACCAAATCCAGAGGGTTACTTATAAGTTTTTAAATTTCTATCATTATTCAATTAGGAAAGGAATACTTTAACAAGAATTATTCTAAGAGCTGAATTTTAGAATGATAGTATGATTCTAAGAGGATTCTAGAATTCTTCCTCTTCAAGCATAGGCATTTTCCCTCTAATGTTAATTCTCAGTAATAGTACATATATACAATTGGAGAGAGAAAAGAAAAACCTTTTCTCAGTTTTGATGCAGTGCCTTCAATTTTGCTAGTGTCTCTAAATGTTTTAATAATAAAATTTCACTGATTTAGAAGAAAGAATATATCCAATACTAATACAACAGAATGATGAAGTGCAAGTACTTTCCCAGAAAGACCAAGTAAAAGACTTTCTATGCCTCAAGAAATACAAATCATTAATTTGTTTCAAAAGTGAAAAGTGCTGCAGGTAGTCAAAATATTACAAAATTTGGATATTTCAATGTTGAAAGAAAATGAATAAAATAAGATTTGAAATAGACAAAGCCCCATGCCAAACTAGAAATACGTTTCAAGTTATATATGTGATGATGGAACATTAAAATTTTAAGAAATAAGAGAATAATGAAAATGTTCTCTGTTTCACAAAGTTTAACTTAAAGATGATGAAAGTGGATAAAAAAATAAATCTACTACAAAATCCACAAACAATCTAAACAGCAGTAACCTTTTTCTACTTAAACTTAACAAGAGGACAGTAGCTCCCATTGCCAACCATATGGTTTAAACGGAAAATATTGATATTAGATATTTACCAGAAACTTGAAAGTTATTCAAAAATATTTAATACACACAGGTCTCAACAGCAGTTTTAGGAGTAAATAATGAAAATACTTTAAATTTCTTACCTTGTCAATTATTTGTACAAAATGAACTGCTACAGTGCAACTTTCAGCTTGACCACCCTTATCTGAACTGTGCAGTAGTACAGCCAGCTTCTTAGAACGAATTTTGCTGGCTCGGTAGCCAAAAACAAACAGCATAGAATCAATTACATTACTTTTTCCACTACCATTTGGACCAACAATTGCATTGAAACACTGAAAATTAACAATGGTATTAAAATTTAAATAAACTCAAAATCTAATGTTAAAATTTAACAAAACAGCATTTCAAAAGACATTTGATGGGAGGAGAGATCTATTGAAAACATAAATTGGACCAGTCTGCAGCACTCTAGCAGACTTATTTTATTTTACCTTGTGAAAAGGTCCCAATACTCTTCGGCCTGCATAACTTTTAAAATTCTCGTTATCAATATGGGTTATGATTAAACGTGGACCTTCATTTACAACATTGCAAGCAGGTACAACTGGAGGTGGGATGTGAATGTCTTCCAAGCGTAGACAATCAGGAGACTTCTCAGTGGCCTCCTCGTTTTGTACATCCTCTTCTACGTCACTCATGTTACTCTGAAATTAATATAATACTTATTTTTCAACATAAAATCAATGATATGTCTTTGAAATCATTTACTAGTAATCATGATCTTCAGAATAGCTTCAACAGAAAACTATTTATAAAATAACAGAAGATCTGATCATAGCTGCCAATTAAGTCTCCAAATTTTGATGTGAGAATTGGGGAGAAATATAAGTGCTACAATTAATGCTAATTTAATTATTAATTCTGCAAATGTTGTTTCCACATATAGGAATACCATTAATTTGCCCCCAAGAACATTTGTATGCGGGTAATATTTATCAACATTTAATAGCATCATCAGTGTATAATTTAAAAAATATTATCTTTATAACCAAGAACTGTGAAGAAATTACCTCAACAAATGCACGGGAGAGGGCGGTGTCGTATTTCGAGCCTCAGTAAATAACCGTGAGTTGTTAAGTTAGTTAAGAGAAGAAAATTTTCGACAGAAAGGATATAATCTACCTGTGGCATACAACTACTTGCACAGTAGTGACATTCAATGTCCACTGATGAAAATACACAGAGAAATATACATCTTATTTTAAAAGTAAGCTATAATAAAGCATCGGCGGGAAAAATCCCTTACCCAAAAGAAGAAATAACTTCTGTTCTGTCTTGTGAAACTCAAATAACCAAAGCTTCACTAAATCCCGCCAAAACTTCAGAACGTCACGAACTGTTGATCGCCATGACACTTTTGCAATTGTGGCGCGAGGTGGCGATCAAAGCAAACTCACTGTACTTCGCGCGGCTTTTTTGAAA